AAACATAAACTTAAACATAAACATAAACTTAAATATAAACCTAAACTTAAATATAAACCTAAACTTAAACATAAACTTAAATATAAACATAAACTTAAATATAAACATAAACTTAAATATAAACATAAACTTAAATATAAACATAAACTTAAATATAAACATAAAATTGAATATAAATATAAAATTACAAATAAAAATAAACAAAATAATAAAATGAAAATAAGTCAAGTTAAAAGTAAAGATAAAGATAAAATGCTAAAAATAATTAGTTGAATGAAATTAAAAAGTTAAGTAAAATTTAAAAATAAAATGAAACACAAAACAGTGAAATAAAAATGATTTAAATCAAGGCTAAGCAAAATTAAAAAGTAAACTAAACCAAACGAAGTAATAAGAAAAAAAATTCAAAATGAAACGCCAAAGCAAATTTGAAAACAAAGCAAAATCAAACCAAATTACACTGAAAACAAATGCAATTTAAGAGTGAATGATTGAAAGATAAAAGTAAAAACAAATTTAAAAGATAAAATCGAAGATCAGACAAAATTAACACTTGAAAAAAACCAAAACTAAACTAAGCTGAAACAAACAAAAATAAAAATTAAAAGCAGGAAATCCGAAAGAAGGCGGGCAAAAGCCTCCCAATGGAAAGCATGAACTCAATTTCAAAAGGTGGGAGGCTCCAGAGGGTGAGCCCAGCTGTACCGTTGGGGGGGCCGTGGCCCCATCTACTGTCCCTGCCCTCCTGGCACTGAGTGGGCGAGAGGCCTGCCAGTTCCAGGACGAAGAGCCCGTTGTGGTGGGGGGTGCAGGTATTCATCCGGAAGTCCTTCCTGCTGGCCAGCAGCTCTCCCTTCCGGCTGCAAGGGAAACGAGCCCAGGTCAGCCGGAGAAGGGCTGGAGAATGGGGCGGGGGACCCCAGGGGAGCCTCTTACCTAAAGAGGGGGTTGTCCTTCTTTTCCGACTCTTCGGGGGGAACCAGGGCCATGGGGGTCAAGGGCACGATGGGAACCGTCTGCGAAGGCAGGAGAGAGGTTTACCAGAGTGGGAGAAGGGGGGAAAAGTGTGGGGGGTGCCTGGGAAGGGTGCTGGGGGGTCAGGTTGGGGGGAAGCCTCCTCTGCTCTGCTAAGCCCTGGCTGTGGGGCAGGAGGGCTTCGGGGAGACTCCCAGTCGCAACCATTCATTCATAGCCACCAAAGTTACAATCACACTGGGGGGGGGGGGAAGGGACTTAGGACCGTTTTTCATACTTATGACCGCTAAGCGGCGGCCACAACGGAGCCCAAAATTGGTTTTGCCCCATTCCATGACCTTTCTTGCCACAGTTGTTAAATGAATCGCTTTACAGTTGTAAAGTCAGTAACATGGTCATTAAGCGAATCCGGCTTCCCCGTTGACTTTGCCTGCTGGAAGGTCGCAAAAGGGGGACACGTGACCCACGGGGCACTGCGACCGTCATAAATACGAGTCAACTGCCAAGTGCCTGGATTTAAACCACCTGACCACGGGGATGCTGCAAGGGTCATAAGTGTGAAAAAAAGTCACTTTTCCCAGGGCGGCTGTAACCTCAAATGGGCACGAAGCGAATGGTTGTAAGTTGAGGACTTCCAGTAAAGTGGCGTGTGTGTGGGGGGGGGAGAGTTGTGTATAGTCCTGGGAGCAAAGCTTCCTTATGCACCCCGCCCTTACTCATAAGCTACTAGAGGGGAGCTGGGGAGCCACTAACGTTGTGTTGTTGGTCGTCTCTCAGCTCCATGTTGGCTCTGCTGGCCTGCTGGATGTCATCCAAGGAGAGGAACTGCGGGGAGAGAGAGAGAGAGGGAGAGAGGGAGGGGGAGGGGGATAGAGAGGGAGAGGGAGGGAGAGAGAGTCAGCATATCGCCCCCAACAACAATCCGGGTCCTCATTTCACCCACCTCGGAAGGCTGGAAGGCTGAGTCAACCCTGAGCCGGTGAGATTTGAACAGCCGAAATGCAGTCAGCTGAAGTAGCCTGCAGTGCTGCATTTAACCACTGCGCCACCTCAGATCGAGCAAGAGCATGAATGAAGCCTCTAACATGTGCAGGGAAGCAACCAATGGCAGACCTCACGCCCATGGCAGGTGGGAATTGGCATACAGCTGTTTTTGCATGCTCACAGGAGGCTTCAATTGGTTAATGGCAACCAGCAGGGTGGATAAAAATTGACAATTTTTTTTTTAAAATCTGCTTTTTTATATTTAAATTGCATTTTTAAAATTTTTTATCAAATGCATTTTAATCAAATGCTTTTGGAGTAAAAATCTAGAGATGGTTTTCTATTTAAGATACATTCATAATTCAGTGTATTCAGCATAGCAATAGCAGTTAGACTTATATACCGCTTCATAGGGCTTTCAGCCCTCTCTAAGCGGTTTACAGAGTCA